CACACACACACACACACACACACACACACACACACACACACACACACACTCTAACACACAGTCTCATTTCAGACCCGCCCATGGTAAACAGAGATGTCTGATGTGGGTTTAACATCTCCGAACATGTTTTCTGCTATGTGCCTTTTCCTCCTTCCTCCGGTCTCTACTTTTTTTCTCCGCTCTGCTCTCTCGTCTCTCTCAGTCCGGTCGTTAGTGACGACAGTTCTAACACAAAATAAATTAGAAATTGATCGAAGTCTTTATTCAGCAACTTGGATCTCTCGTTTTCAAAGTTTTGACCATCTCTCCTGTGTGTTATTGTGACACTTCTCAATATGCACACTGGTCAACTTTAGGCATTCAACCCTCACTTAGCATGTTAAGATTGATTTTCCTGTATATTAGAGTCATGACGGAATAAAAATGCACGATATATAAATATTCCCAGGCTCTTTATCCTTTGCAACAAACCATAAATGTAGTGACTTGGCAGCAGAGATGAAGTGAAAAAAGGGGGTAAAGACAGTTCATCTTCTGAGATGTGGGAATATGAACGCACAACCACGAATCTGACAGAATAGGAAATATGGGACGAGGTTGAACAGGCTATAAACTAGCAAACGTATCCAGTTGATGTAAAACACTTATATTTGGAGGTCAGCCTGAAGGCGAGGACGTCTGAAAGGTTAGCAGCAATCCCTCATCGTACAGCACAACTGTAGGAACACGATGACACAGTGAGTGAAGGTTTGAGCATAAAATGGGTCTTTAAACTGTGATGGATGTTTACAACAGATGTTTTGAGCAATGGCTTCACAGTTTGTCTTCTTTTGAGTCTGTCTCACTGACTCTCAGGTATTAACTTGGTGAGTAGCGTTTTATATGTACAGATCAAATCTGTAAAAATACAACCAACATCTTTACTTTAGGGAAGCAAACAAAAAATGCAAAGACAGCCACGGCTACACACACACACACACACACACACACACACGACCATGAGAACAGAACCTTTCCTGCAGTGTACCAAAACAGTTTCTGTACACTCACATTATAATTATCCCTGTTGTACAGTTGTGTGTGTGTGTGTGTGTGGGGACTCCATATAATAAGTAAGGACACAGACGGACTAAACTAAAACTACTCCTCACAAAATGGTTATTTTCAACCTACAACTTTCTGTGTGCAGACACACATCACAGATGTTGTTGTGTCACAGTTTCACTATAATAGACTTCACTTTATAGTTTGATCAGTTGTTTGGCTGCAGGTATTTCCTGGAAAACTCAGGTTTTGCCGCAACATTTGAATAATTTTCTCTCAGTCGCACAGTTTGTTCCTGTCTTTCTTTTCTCAGTTCATTTTCCGTCTGTTGACTGCTGCAAAAAATATAATAAACTGGAATGGAAAGAGAAACTTCATAACCGTAAACATCTGCTCCTTCACTAATCACCCCATATGATTTTCTCTGTGTGTGCATGCGTGCGTGCTCTGTCATTATGTGGTGTGTAACCACTTCAGATAGGGAATCTCCAACCGCTCAGATACAGAGAGAGACGGATGAATTGAGGAGAGTGGAGGCAAATGAAAGGCAGACGTAAAGGTGCAGTTGGTTATCCCGTCTTTTGTAGGGATGCAAAACATTTAAAAGTTCATGCATAGGAAACACTGTCCTGGGATGACACCAAGATGAACAGACCTTTTGTGCAAAGTCGTAGATTCAATCAAAGAAACATTCAATGTGTAAATTATATGTAAATTAAAAAGTGTTTTCAGCTCACTAACATTTTCACAATGTTTTGGAGAGGCTGTGTGTAGCAGTGTTAATGTCTGAGTCAGTTTCACTGGAGCCCAATGTCCAGAAAATATCCAAGTGGGCCCATGTGAGAAAATACAGTAGGAACATGTCCGGACTTTTACATTTACAAGAACTCAAACAACACAGTAGAGGAAAGGAAACACTAAAAAACACACGTCTCCTTTAAAGGAGGAGTTGTGACGAGAGTGAGGAGCAGTCGGAGATGTTAAAGGAGGTGAAGCGTGTAAAACGATCTCATTTGAATCTGGAAGCAGTTTTTGCATACAGCTGCCTCGAGTCTCAACCTGCCCCAGAGATCGAGCGCTGCACCGGTTCACACCTGAACCGAGCTGCCTGGCCTCCTGTTGATGACATCGTCAGTGTGTGACGCACATGGTCTAGACTGTTGGATGAATAAGACTTTATAGCGTCAGTAGCACAACATCAAAACTGTGCGGTCTCTGCTATTTGGGGAAATTAGTCATTGTGATGAAAAGTAAAGTATCACAGGCGTCAGCAGAAAGTAAATGAAATGACCGTCGCAGTCGTCATGTGCCGTGACGGCTGTTTACGATCATCTGGAACAGAACGTAGATCTTCGCTTGGTTCTGTCCCTGAACTTGAGTCATTGGTCTTGTTTTTCTTTCTCTGTTTCAGCCCAAGGCACTTTGGATTAAGTTTTATTACCTCTGCTAAGGAGGTCACGTTTTAATTGTTGTCATTTGTCTGTTTTTGTCAGCGCCACCACTCACAGACCGATCTCCATAAAATGTTGCGTGTGTGTGAAACTCGGAGCGTATCCAGGATTTGTTTTGTTGTTTGTCTTTAACATGGTGAGATAAGTTATCAGCCTCTAATCGAAGGTCCCTCTTTCTTCTACACATACGCCGTCTGCACGTCTTCATTGATTCAATCATCTGCATTGAATTGTGTTCAGAACCTGCTGGAGCCAATCAGATAACTTAACCACTGTAGCTACACATGGCATGACCACAGTGAGGGTTAGATTCTGAAGCCAGATGTTGGAGAAATAACTACAGTCATCGTCATCTTACAGCATCTGCAGACCGAAGTACCCAGAAAACCAAACACAATCATTGTCTCTCTCTCTCTCGGTGGCTTGTAAACAGTGTTGGTGTTTTACCAAGCCTGAGGCTACGGTACCTGTGTGAGGGAGGAATGTTGGCCGACTGGTTTATACCCACGGAACTAAGGAGGCCTTCCAATACATGAGCGGTTGTAACTACTGGTTTCACTCTTCATTCCTCAAGTCTATCTGCACCGGCTCTGTGGTGCCTTTAAACAATTAGGAAAATGATCTGTGGTAAACATCTTCCTGTTCTCTCACCCGGGGTCATCGTCGGTGATAGTTTGTTTCTTCATTAACAAATCAACCGAAATCAAGAGCGTGAAAATGACTCATGATTTGTTGCTTCATTTAATAATGTCCGCAGACTATTACAAATTTCAAATTAAATGGGAAGAGTCGGGGACTATTTTCCACAGCGGATTAACACGTCAAAATATTCCTGCTGCAGGAATGTTGATGTGGGATTGAGTCCAAAATGATCTGTGTGTGTTAATGAAGCCACGTCAGTTTGAGTCATTGATGTTTTCTTAATAGAATTTAGCTCAAGAAAAATAGATAAGGATTGACTCAAGAAGTAGAGCGGAACGCCCACTAATCGGAGGGTCGAACGGTTCGATTCCCAGCTCATCCAGTCAATGGGCCTAAGTTCAGGACCCAAATTGCTCCTAATGGACGTGTCAGCAGCATGTGAATAAGAATGAGGTACTGATGAAGCAGTGTGAACTGTTCACCTCTTTTCTATTTCTTAGTAGGATTAACAATCACTGATGGTTTTGGTCTTTTAATGGGAACAAATATAAAACCTGTGACCAAGACGTGTGTTATTACTTTGAGCTGTGGGCTGGAAAATGACAAAGCTTCACCACAAAATCACAAACACAGAAGTTGTCGCACCCTGCCCCTGCTGTTTGATTCCCAGACCCTCCCTGGGAAGTGTAGTCCAGAGCGGCAGCGATGGGAAAAGGTTCCTCTCGCCATGCTAATTCCTCTGAGTTCCTTTTGTCTGATTAAATGGAATTACATTAGGATTAAGTTACTCGGATTTTGGCTGACACGAAGCATCACGTTCGTTGGCTTGTCAGATACATCTAAGCTTCGGGAACTATGGAGATATAATCACCACCTCATCCGATTCTCCAAGTCAGAGAGCGATAATTAAGGTAACGTCCGTGTAATGACGTAAAAAAGCTGGAGATCCTGTTTAGAAACAAACACGAGGTGGTATTAAGAGTACGTTTTCCAGCTGGTGAGAATCAGCTGCTTCTGAACTGTGTTTCACCTTTTAACAGAGGGAACGAGTTGACTCGGTGCAGGACAGAGCTTCTGACTTTGTGTTTTCATGGCTGGCGAGCCGGAGCCTTGTAGAAACAGTCTGACGGCACACAGCACGTCTGTGTGTTTCCACACAGGCCCGACGTCAGGCGGACCAACAGCTCGCCGACACTGAGCTTCTGTTCCCGACGTGGAAATTACCCTCTGTCCTCCCTGTGCTCCCACTCACCTGAGTGAACAGGCTGTGTTTGGGTTGAGCTTTATGACACAAAGTCTGCTGTGTGTGTGTGTGGAAACAGCTTCTCACTGTGTGGAACAGGATTTACTGTCCGAGGAGCAGCTTTTTCAGCTCTTTGCTCTCTCGTGACTTCACAAAGACAGATTTGTGTATCTCTCGGAAAAATATCTCAAACTTTGTTCAGGGTGATTTCACCGAACTCCGTCGAACACTTGAGCCCGGAGAATGTTGTGGTTAACAGCCAGAGTCTGCACGGCTGCAATCAGGGGATGGAGCCATGATATCGAGCTCCCGCCGATACACACACTCGACCAATCACGAGTCCGTCTCGCCTGTCGATCATGACGTTACGCCCTGTTTTTATAGCATCAAAAAAACCAACTTAATAGAAGCATGTAGACTTGATAAGAACTACCTACAACTAGTGAAGCCAAACTTAAACTTAAATGTTATAAATCGCTCCACGTCCCATCTGCGAACATGGAGGAGACATGGATTGACTTACTCTTTAAAAGTGCATTGTTTTATTAACGGGTCATATTTGAAATCTGAAATATTAAAGCTGTCAAATAGATATGATAAAACAAATATTACAGTTTTTCTTATTTCAAATGTAGTGAAGTGAAATTATAAATCAGCACCTTCGTTAAATTAGTAAATTAAATACAAAAGAAAACTGTGTAATGTTCTCGAACCTCCTCTGCATTGATGGAAATCTTTGCTCGCTCACTCCCACCCTCCACCACCTCTGGACTTATTTTTACATCCAGTGGGTGTTTCCACAGCTGGGTGGTCTGCAGGTCGGAGCTGCGTGTGTCTGCTCTGCACCGACAGGTTCTCACCCACCAGGCTCAGGTCGGGTCAACACTCAACCGCACTGAAACGGCTCCGAGAGTCCGCACGCATGGTTAGAAAACATGGTTCCTGACGTTTAGAGTCTCAGGGATTCTACTTCAATGTTATCTATTGTATTCAAGTCGTCCAGTTTACTTAATACTCCAATTCTGAACCTGTGTGTTTAGAATGGGTTCTTTGTTCGCGCCCCGGACAACGACTCTCGGGATGTGAAGAGGATTTCAACAAATGAGATTTAAAAAGTGTTTCAGAAACAAATGACCAAATCTCCCTTGTAATTGAATTTATTCAGGCTCTTAAAAACGTTTGAACTTGTTGAAACCTGTGGAAACCCTGAATTATATTAAATCTCAGTGTGAGACCTGCACATACAAGCGGGATTTAGTGACATCACTGGTTTGGGAGCCAATCATGCTTCAATATGACGCTTTTCATCAAGTGTGATGTAGACATAGAACAGAGTTGTGTTCAGCAGGTGAGGATCTTTAAAATAATAGTTCTGATGTCCCAATTAATTTATAGAGGCTCTTTAGGATGTTTAATATCTGCACACAGGTATTAAAGTATTTTCCTGATGTAATCTGTCTAAATTCCGCAGTTTAAATATGTTTGTGGTGTAAGAAAAGCTCTTTCACAGCATCTCAGGAGGAACGATGGACGTCTTCACCGACCCACGTTCGTCCCACTAGTCTTAGGATTGAACCCTCTAGTTAATGTCCGAACGTTAAACTTGTCTCTGACCGGTTTGTGTTTGTAACCAGCCGGAGTCATGAGTACTGTTTTAACTTCGGGATGAAAGAGCCACAAAATCTCTTCCATCTACAAATCAGAAGTGTCCTCTGGTTTTGTGAAAGTGGTTTCTGTCTAAGAAAGTCTGGAGGTTTCAGGACTTCACACGAGTCCAGTAAACAATGTAGTAAATCACATCAGAGACGGAAAAATGTCTCATCTCTGCTTCTCTTTCTCAGATTCAAACATTCTCTCCTGCTTTCTCTTCTCTCGTAGTTTGCGTCACGTTTTACTGGCTCTAGATTATTCAAGAGATGTAAATTTATAGAGTTGACGTTAACTCACAGGAGGCTCAGACAGCGAGCCCAAGTCACGTGTGACAAACAGCTGATGCTGCTGTCACATGAGGTGTTATTCTGACCCCTGCTGGTAAAAACCCAGTGTCGCAGTCTGTGTATTATCTGTGCTACTGATGATACCCTAACGTGTTTTTATATGTATTGTATGTATGTATATTTACTTTTAATACATTTTTATCAGTACAATAACAGCAGCTATTAATTTGAATCGGCGTGAGCTCACTTCCTTCCTGACTTTGTTTCCTCTCGGTCAGTTTCCCCAACATCAGTTCCTCTTGTGTGTGTCTCTCTGTAGGGAAGGACGAGGCGCGGGGACAGCTGGACAGTGCACTGCAGGACGTCAACGTGCGCTACGCTGTCCTGGAGGAAACAGAGAAGAGAGCCGTGTGCAGGGCGCTGATAGAGGAAAGATCTCGCTACTGCAACTTTGTCACCATGCTGAAACCTGTCCTGGTCAGTCCTGTGTCTGTGTGTGTCTGTGTGTGTCTGTCTGTTGATTCAAATCCACCAATACAGAACTGAGGCAGCCTTTGAAGCTAATCATTGTGTGTGTGTGTGTGTGTAGGACCACGAGATCAACATGCTGGGAGAGGTGACCCACCTTCAGACCATCCTGGGAGATCTGATGAACCTGACAGCTGAGCCCAATAAACTTCCTCCAGCCAGCGAGCAGGTACCCTCCCCCTTCTTGCTGATGTTTCCGGTGACCTCTGACCTTTCCTCTCGCGCCACTCCTCTGACTATTTATCTCATTCTTACCAATTCCAAGTAGCGTGGAAGCAGCCTCATCTTGAAAGTAGAGCTTTAAAGATTCTGACCAGAGTTGTTGGGTTTTTTTTTTTTCAGGTCATTTCAGATCTGAAGGGTTCTGATTTCAACTACACCTACCAGACACCTCCAGCTTCTCCAAGCAGCACAATGTCCAGGAAGAGCAGCATCAGCAGGTAAGATATATAGATAGATACCACTTGGCTGTTTTATTATTGTTTTACTACAGATGCTACTGCACTTGTGATATCAGTCTGCTGCTTTTTCTCTTTTTACTCAGTTTTATTTTGCCTCACACGTGAAGCTGATAAAAAGACAAATATAAATAAAACAGTGGCCGACTAAAGGAAATATATGTTTTTATATGATGGGACATACAAAAATGGTTTCAGTTTAAAACTAAAAACCGTCTCACAACTTTTTATTATCAAAACAGTCTCTGATTAAGTAACGGACCAATCGTTGCAGCTCTACTGTCAATCATTGTCATGTTTGTGTGTTTTCAGTAACTACCAGTCTGGATCTATGAGACACGTTCCCTCATTGGACTCCATCAGCTGTGCTGTGGATGGAGTCCACATCCAGGTAACACACACACACACACACACACACACACACACACACAGCTGTGAGGGTCTCAAAGTCATTTTGTCCTCAGTTCTTCGGATGACCTTTAACCTTTCTGATAAGACTTGGTTTTCTTCGTAAGGGTGCATCACATGTTCACAGGGGTTTTCAACAGAAAACATTTATTTAACATGCAGCATATGGCCCAAAGTATGTGGACACCACACACTTAAATGTACTTTTTAGCTTTGTCCCTGGGTTCGGTACAGATCCCGTGGAGGGAGAAGTTAAATGTGAAAGTCCTCATAAGTTGGAAATAGATTTCTGTACACACACACACACGCAGCGCTGCTCTAATCCTCTCCTGTGTGTAGCGCTGCTCCTCCCCCTATCTGCGGATTGGCTGCGATGAAAGTGGGCGCTCCCTCAGCGAAGGGAACTCCCCTTCTCACCTCGGCCGTCAGGGCAGCCGCGGTCGCTATGGTTACGCTGCCGGCCTTGGCCCTCGGCCCACGCTGAGCCGCGTTAGCCGCAGGGATATGACCACAGTGAGAACAAACTACAACTTTTCACCCCCCCCCCGACCCGGAGTACCGTCCTGTGTTCTTGCCGTGTTGTGTTTGAGTCTCCCTCCACTTCACCTCATCTCCAGTTTTTCCCCTCCGTGTTTTCCACCGGCTCACACGAGAAGTGATTTTATTCTCGCCCTCTGATTCTTTTTTTTATCACATCCACGATTGAACCACGTACATTTCTAACCCAGCACCTGTTTCATCCCGTGTTGTCATTTGAAACTTCATTCTTGAACTCTGTACGTGTACAGTAACTGGTGCTGTGTCCGTGAGTGTACATGGATTCATGGTATTTGTCTTATTTTTGTTGCTTGAAACCGCCAAATATTTTTTACCTCTTCGCTTCATTCAACTTCCTGTTTGCGCTCACGTCATCTTCCCCTGCCAACCCGAACCAGCCTCCGTCCCACTGTCAGATACCTCGTCACATCGCTCTTTCCCTGTCGCCCTCTGTTGCTCCTTCTCAGTGGTGTAATGTTGGTGTCGTGGCGTCTTGTCGGTGGTCATGTGATGACTGAATGTTTCTTTTGAACGTGTAAAATCCTCATTAATATTGTTGGCAAAGATTTTAAACGTTACTTGAAATGATATTTTCTGTTTATGTCATCGTCAACAAACAGCAATGAAAGCAATGATTGTTGTTTAAGTCTTGTCTTTACATCCAAAGTCCAGTACGTCACATTAGTTTGTTTCATAGAGCTCAGGTGAAAAAACTCACCTGTGTCTTCAGAAGGACAATGTGGGTTTTGGTCTTTTAATGTGACTCGATGACAAGAGCAAGAATAGAGAATTTAGAGAACAGAGATGTCGGCCGTCCTTAGCTTTCAAAAATATATTTTCGCCTTTTTTTAAACTCGAGCTCAACTCTAGATTCACACTTTCACTTCAGGAGAGAAAATTTAAATGATTATAGTTTAAGAACCTGTTTGAAAAGATGTGCTCAGTGAAATGTATTTGTATTTATATATAATTAACCTGGAAACCTCTTTGTACCTGTTGGTTCACTGACTGACTGGTTCATTTATCACAGGACACGATGGGATCCAACAACCAGATGGCTGCTGGGGGAAGCAGAGGGCCGGAGAACGGGCTGTTGGCTCCACCGCACAACGTCTATGCACATCATGGAGAGAGAACACGAGCCATGTCTGCGTCTGGGAAGGTAACACACACACACACACACACACACACACACACGTAGTATCTTTAGGTTTTGGAAATTGCCAAAAGGACCAAAGTAACTTCTGCTTCAGCTCTTTTCTCCGAGTGTTTTGTTTCAAATGAGAAAAAATACTTCAAATGCTCTAAAGTTCATACATCTGATTAAAAAACTACACATGAGCCACTGGAGGGCAGCAGGAGACCAGAGAAGAAGAAAACCTCAGCTCTCCCTTTGTTTCCATTCATCATCTTCTTTCCTCTCCTCTCTTCAAGTCCTCATCTCCTTCTGTCCTTGTTTCATCTCCTTGGTCCTCTCTCCTCTGCCCCTTGTTTCCTGTCAATGACGTCAGTTACTCTTCCCTCCTTGTTTCCAAAAATCTGTCTTATTTAGAAAAAGTGTAAATGAAAACGTTAAATACTTTAAAAACCATCTCGTTCTCTCATTCTCTCGTTCTCTCAGTCTTGCTCGGCCCGAGATCAGCTGGCGTTGACTCTGGGTGCGTTGAATTCGGACGCCCCAAGAAGCAGCCGGGACTCTCTGCACTGCTCCAGCGGCTACAGCACTCAGACCACCACCCCGTCCTGTTCCGAGGACACCATACACTCACACAGTAAGTACACACACACACACACACACACACACACACACACACACACACACACACACACACACATAGTGAGTTCAGAGACACAAACATTTATTTTTTCTTGTCTTTAATCATTAATTTCACACTAACTGTTTAATAACTGAGATACAAATAAGAACTAGAGGCGGCTTCTCCAGCAAACACTCACACACTGCATTGATGTATTTTACCAACACGCTCCCTGAGGGACCTCTAACCTCGGTGGATCGGTCGTGTGACCGAACGTCTCCTCGGTTGTTTTATTTGCATTTCCTGTTTTTGTTTGGATGAAGCTGACTTTGCCATCTGAAGTTATTTACCAGTTTCTCCTGTGTGTCAGTTCCTCTCTGGTTTTCTCGGTTAAACTTCCTTCCTTGTCTTCCAGCTGTAAAGAGAGATCCTCCCCTCTATGGTAGGTCTCTGTCTACCTGTCCCTTCACCTGTCTGCTTGCCTTCTTGCCTGCGTGTCTCCGAGCTCGGGTGTAACTGCACGTCCTCACCTCTGCATGCAGCGATGCTCCCCTCTGTTGAATCCTTTGAGCCTCAAATTATTTATGACCTGCTGAAACTGCAGAGATTAACTAGAGCGCCTTGTGGTGGAGAAGCCAGAAACACTAGTTTGAAATAGCGGCTAAATCATGAAGGATGTCCCATCAAGTTAAATTTAGCTGTAATCAAGATCTTTTCATACTGATGCCTGCAAAGAGTTTGATCCAATACTTATACTCACATGTGTGTATCTGGCAGTTTTAAGGAAATGTGCGAAAAGTTGTAGCAGCAACTTCAACATCTGCTCTTATCACATCGCATCTTGTTATGTCTCTGTGGCATCGCTCCTCCTTTCCTTTCTGAGATATTTGCCTTCTCTCCGTTGTTGTGGACGACTGTATTGTTAGTCGTAATTATTAAGGTGTCTGTCATAAATATAAGACTTGAAACCAGTTGATGAAGTAGAAGTATGGGTGGTCTTCAGGAAGTGATGACAGGTCTATGTAATGTCCACACGAGGGACCTGTGGCCACCTGACGTCTTTCTGTAGATCAGTTTTCGGCTGAGGACAAATAGTGTTGTGTCTGACAGGACCACAAGGGGGAAGGGAATGTATTGTGTCAACAAATGTCCTCACAACTATAGAAAGACCAACGTGTTTGACCTTTTTATACAGTTGGACAGGTGTACAGTTTTACGTCATGTGTGTGTTTTTAATCGTGTTATTCGTACGTGGCTGTAAAGTAATTGAGTTGCATGTTACACTGACGTTGAGTCACTGATGTAATCACGTGTTCCTGCTGTTGTCTGTCCGTCAGACGAGCGGAAAACACTTTGTCATCAAGATAATCCAGAAACAATCCAGAGTCCAGTTTGACTCTGATGACTAATGTGCTCGTCTCTTTCTCTGCAGTCGACTACGAGTGCATCTCTCTCCACGGAGACGCCGACTCCATCTCCTTACATCACCTGTCCCACGGAAACAGCCAGTCAGACTTTGACAAGTCCTCGACCATCCCGAGGAACTCTGACCTCAGTTTACAGTACAGGAAGTTCGCTCAGTCCAAACGCCCTGCCTCCACCGTCAGCCTGTTGGCCGACCCGGAAATGATTGGCGGGTCTGTCCGCCAGCTGCCGTCCCACACGGCCACCATCAGACGCAAGCCGTCGTCCAAGCCGACGTATCGCAGGGGAACAATCAGCGGAGGGGTGCCCATCCCCATCAGCACTCCGCAGGTCCCCCTGAAAGCCGTCGGAGGAAGCGGCGGAAGCGATGAGAATGTTTTCACAGCGCCCCCTGCTGGAGTAGCAGGAGGCTTAGGTCGCAGCAAACTCTGCACGTCCACGCAGAGCCTCAGCGCCTTACCGCCCTCCTCCTCCCCTTACTACCAGCTGGTCCCAGGCCAGATGCCCATCCCGGTGCCTGTTCCCACTGTACCTTCCCTGCCAGCAGAGGGCAGCGGCACCAGACAGCAGCAACAGAGACAGTACCAGCAGCAGCAGCATCCGCACACCCAACAACTCCAGATTCAGCAGCAGCAGCAATATTATCAGCAGCAGCAGCTTCAGCAGCAGCAGCTTCAGCAGCGGCAACAGGATCAATATCAGCAGCAGCAGCTTCAGCAGCAGCAGGATCAATATCAGCAGCAGCA